GTTATTTTTGATGGTTGGGCCCAGCTTTTGGGAAGCCTCATAGCCAGCTTTCAAAGCTGTGCTCTCTGTCATCTCTGGTTTCACTTGTGTCAAACATGGGGGAAAAGTAGGGTGCCAAATGCCTCTGAGCTGAATTTCTGATTGGAGGGGCTACACCTCTGAGGTCCTGCAAGGAATTCTCAGGTTGACAGGAGAGCTGATGGCCTTTAACACGTTGTTTCACTTCTTTGGTATGTGAGTGTGCTTATGAGTGAGAGAAATAGATACTGGGAAGAGCTGGGGTCACCTCATAGTTGTGTTACTCATCTGGAACCAGTCTCTGGCTGCTGTGAGATGTAAGGTATGCTGCAGCCCTCACACAGATACTGTAAGGGGAGTCCTACGGGCTTGCTGAATTCTTGGGATAACTGCAGAGAGCTCAGCACCTCGTGCTACAGATCACGCTGCCTGTGCTCTACGAGGATGGGAAAGCACAGCTCTGTTGCCTGCCAGCCTGAGGCTCTGCTTGAGTTTCTCAGGTTTCAGAGGCCTCCCTACTCCATTTATGTAGCCTTTCCTTATCCTTCTCAAGGTCTGATTTCATTCCCCCCATGCTGTAGGGCTGGGAGGATTGCAGGGGAACCTGTGTGTGCTGAAGCCTGGAATCTGCAAGAGCAGCTGCCTGTGTTGGTGCCTTGTGGGCATGTCTGGCATTCCTCCAGCCCAAAGGGTGGTGTTGGGTTGAGAGCCTACGCTTCTTGCAGGCCAGTGTTGTGGTTTCAGAGATGAATGCAAGTGAAGTTTTGTCACCTGGCTGTCAGGAACACCTCCTGCCCTTTGCTGCCAGCTAGAATTAGCTTAGTGAGTGAGCTAAAAGGCACCATTAGGAACCCAGCTACTCTGGAGACTTTCTACAGAGAACAAAGTCCCATGCACAGTAGAAATTTCATCCTTAATTCTGGTACCCTTCACTTGAATTAACAATTCTTTTTGCTACTCCTCAACTGCCCTACAGCCTGGAGTCCTCTTAGGCTTTCTTTAAGGTGGCTGAAATGGAGATGAGCTATGGGTGCTCTACAGTTCAGTTGATTGGTCACTGCCAATGGTAACTGCTGATTCTTCTTTTCCCTTCCCAGTGATGCTTTATCCCTGTGACGTGCTCAACTTCTGCTGGCCCACAACCTGGTTTTAAAACTGGATCCCTTGATTTTAAAACCACAACAGGTTTTAAAACTGGATCCCTTGACTGGCTGTGACCCAGGCTGGGGCAGTGGCTAGGGCACACTAATCTACTGCTCACCTGTTTGCATATCACTTGCTTTACTACTGGAATACAAACTAAAGGTGGTTGTTTCTGGATGAAGCAGATTTCACTAAAGGAAACAGGACTGCTTGTATTCAAAGAGTGAGAAATTATTTTTGATAAAATCGGTGGTTGCTCTTCTCTTCCTTGTAATCTGTGTATACACCAGGTGTCAGCTTTGAGAACAGCAGGTGAAGTGCCAGAGAAAAAAGGTTGATGGCTTTGGAGACATCACACAGCTGCAGTGCTCTGCACTTGTGTATCTTGGGTCCTGGGTGGTCAAAAATTGAAGTGAGATACTGGGCTTTCCCATGGCTTTCTGAAGTAGACTTGAGTTCAAATTTTGTGTTTTTTTTCCCCTTTGCATAAATTTTTAGGTCTCAAATACAAGTGCTATGATACAAAGGTGGAAAAATTGAGGGAGCTCTAAAATACATTTGAAGGCCAATGTTAACAAGTGGCACCTAAATCTCTACTCTGCACCTGTGCTCTACCTAATAAAAGGTCTCACTGTTTTAAAAAATATGGAATCAGTAAGTTTCCCTTTTGCCAGTCCTTTCTTAATGTATTCTCTTTAACATTCCTTTTGCATTGCTATTTGTACTTATCCTAGTCTGTGGCCTGGGGCTGCTGCCTCTCCCAGGTAGGCAGACACAGGAGCAGCAGTCATGCACCAAAGGGCATTACTGGAATGTCTCATTGGTTAGAAACTGTGCTGTCACCACAATGGAACTGCCTGCCTTAGGGGCTACAAATGAAACTCCAGGGCTTAATTTTTACTTATGCTGATGTTGGAGTTCTCTTATTCATAAATGTTGCACAAAACATTGCTGAGGAAAGAAGTAGCCCTTTTTCCCCCACTGTCTGATGGAGACATTTGTAGTTTAATCATGAAATGCTGTCAGTTGGACTGCATCATTATTACAACCACCCTTTCATAGCTATAAATGATGAAGTGTACAGAAATGCAGAGAAACAAGATTGTGAAGTCATTCTGCAGCTACACCTAAGTGAAAACTCTATAGGAGCTTTAGACACTGGGTGGATGAAGCATAAAAGGATGGCTTGAACGTTGTTGTCTTCTGGTCAGCCCTAAGCAAAGCCCTACTTTGCTTTTTTGTAAATAAACAGAATCCTACATTTGAAAAAAAGAGCAGTAATGACAAAACTGTAGCTTTAAAGGTAAGAGGCTGTTTTTTTTAAGAGCAAAGTAACACTAGCAGCCTTTTATCTATTTGAAAAAAACATTGATGTTATGATGTATGTACTCATGGCCCACATGAATCTGGGCAGAAGAAAGTCTTTTCATTGCAGACCCCCACTGCCAAGTGCCCCTAAGTTTGTTACATCTGAAGGACTTGGATTTGTAATGGTGTGTGACTGCCTTATTCTGCTACTGCTTGTGCTAAAACTCGACTATAACACAAAGTAAAATGTGATGAGAGAAAAAAAATTCAAACCCAACCAACGAAAACCCTCAGAAAAAAATCCCCAAACTCCAGTGTTGATTAATGTTATCAGTGATGTGGGTCAGGCTTGCATATTAAGGTCTTTACACAACTTAGGTTTTAAACACCACCTTAAAGTATATGTGAATAAAAGAGAGAAAGTCTTAATTCCAAGGCATCCAAATTTGCTCTTGGATCTGCAGATAAACTGATTTTATGTAAGTAACATTTATCTAGAATATTTTTTTCCCCACAGTCTGATAGGAAGTGCCTGTACAATGAGAGAAACCAGTTCAGGATTGGACTGACTGCTCCAGATGCTGGATACTGGGGTGTGTGATTCTCTGGTTCTTCACCAGACATTTCACTGTGCATCCAATAAATGTTCACACTTACGGTTTAGGCAGACAGGTGCTTTCTTTGTCTGTTTTAATCAATTTATTTCCTCTTTTAAGTTGCATCTACCCAGAAAAAAATGCCATTGATATTAAGACAGTTCATCAACAAGAAATATGGTCAAGAAACTGTTTTTATTTATTTTTGTGTTGCATTACAGGAAATGGGTATGTCATTACTTGTATGTCATTGTGCCTTTCTGTGAGGTTCACTGCTGTGGTGTTTTCTTACAATATTTTTTAATTTACAGAACATGAAGGTGAAATTCTTATTTTTCTTTAATCAGACTCACGTTGACAAGAAGCCAAAGTTTGCTGAATGACATCTTTTACGATGTACAAGTCACAAGTATGGAGACACGCAGGGAAGAAGAACCAACTCAATTCCCATTACTGACCAAGAATGGAGAACTTGGAATGGAGGGCCCCAAGAGTGGGTGAAGTTCTGTCAGAGGAGCAAAGAGTCTCTATACTTGGATACATCTAACCACACTTTATTTTTCGAACCAGTCCCTGTGTATCAGAATTCTTCGTAAAGTAGAAACAACAGTTTCCTAGGGCATCCCTTCTGTTCAGCTCTCTGGGGCAAGGAATAGAGGGGGAGTTTCCTTCAAGTTGGGAGAAGGTCTCTGATCACTTGCGATTGAGGACAAACCCTCCCTGTACTGTACTGACTTAGCCCAGTGGCCACTCCTTTTCAACAAGACAGGCTCTGATGGGAATGAAGAAGTCCTCACATTATCTCACATGCTTTCCAGTGAGGCAGAGCATTCATGCTGCAGGCCAGATTTACAAGGCAGCCCAGCTGAATGTGGCAAACGAAAGGCTGGTGCCCATCTGCCCAGCCACATGTACATGGCTGAAATACTCTGGTCTCCTGTCATTGTCGGCAAGAGCAATTTATTACTGCGGACAAGGCACCCAGGAAAGTGCCTGTTGCTTTCTTTGGGGATCGTGTTCTGCACTGCAATGCTGTGATTGTGCCACACATGTTTTTCTCTGACTGGTCTCCTCTAGCTGTTTTTCGACATTTCTTTTTTGTCTGAAAGTTTAGTGAAGCAGAGGTCTGTCTATAGGAGCTACTCAGAGCTGCAATGGAGTCCTCTGGCCGACGGAGTCACAGACTTGGGTCGATGCTCACGAGGCACAGGGGAGGCAGGTGCTGGCAGTTACGTAAGAACTGGTACAACTTGGGCTTCTTGGAGGAGGAAGGTTAAAAACTGACCCTAGGAAAGTTTGGAGGACAAGCTTTATCCAGGTTCCTAAGACTTCTCCTAGTTCCTCACCTACAGAAGACAATGTAACTTGCCAGCATTTCCTCAGAACCTGTTGAGCTCAGCAACTGGAATGTCAGGCAATAGCTGTATTCTGATTAAACAGTGACATTTGGGTTGATTTTGTGCAATGTATGTGCTAACTTCAATTTAAACTTTAACCAGAAACTACAGCACCTGTTTTTCATTTGCTGTACAAGGTGCCCGATGCATCTTCTAGATAGTCCTAGTCATCATAACAGTAAGCAATTCAGTCCTTTTCCAAAACTAAAGCTTGATGCACAATGATATGCCATGGCTGCCATTCATACAAGAAATTGAACTTAGCAGTCTCATTTAGTTAAGAACTGAAAATAAAAAACTACAGTCATTAATCTACATAGATTTGTTAGAAGTTGGATTTTCTTGTGAAATAATTTGATTTTTCACTTGTGGGCTTCTGTGAGTGGTAACATAGTACACTACATGGTGGAACTGTTTATCCATTCTGGAAGAGGACATTGTTTGATATTAAATTTATGTTAAATTTATGTTAAATTGTTGAATTCTTGTAAGCTACAAAATCTCAGATCTTTATAGCAGGACCATATCAATCACACCACACTATCAATTAATTTATTTAAAATAAGAAATATTTCCTAACTTATTGTTACAGCTCTAAAAATATAAATCTGACTTTAATATTCTAAAGTTTGTTTTGAGTAATACAATTATAGGCAAAATATACAAAATTCTACTGATAACCAACCCTTTATCCTTTAAGGTCTAATTTACACAGAGATTATTGCCCAATTAATAGTATCCTGCTAGAGAGATCTTAGTAGGATTTAAACAGAAATAACTGAAAGTAAGCTGAACAATTTACTCCTGGCTGACAAATGGCAATTCACCACAGAAGGAGCTCAATCCCTGTTCAACAGGTATGTTTTGGTTACTGTTATGAATACTTATGTGAAATGTGAAGGGTCCCTGCAAAGTTTTCCTTAAGTTCATCAATTTCCTTATTGACTTCTGAATCACTGTCACAAGCCATCAAGTTTAAAGCTCCCTTACAGGTGTGTGAAGTGCCTGGGTGTTCTTCAAATTCCACACCACAGGAATCGGACTCTGTCCCAGCATCCATAGTTTCTGTGGTATCTTCTGAAAACTCCTCCCTGATCTGTGTCTCCCTTGACCTTTCGCTCCATGACATTGATTCACATTTGTTTGGTTCCTTTAACGACATCTCTGTGGTCTCACTGAATTCTTCACTTTTTGTAGCTTTCCTCACCCTGTGACCTTTACTGGTAAACTCAAGCTGTTCTTGCACATCAAATTCCTGCACATGCAGGGGGTCCAAGGCTTCCTGGCCTGCATGCATCAGCTCTGTCTCGCTGTCCCGGCCACAGCCGAGGTCTGATTTCAGCACTTCCAACATCTGGCGCATTTTGCCCTAAGGGGTGAAGGGAGAAAAGGGTGACACATTTCTCCAGCCCATGGCACCTGAGCACTGCTCAGACTCAAGGCTTAACTCTGACAGAAGGAAAGGAAGGCTGCTTGCAATCAAGTGACTAAATTAAACAGTCACCAAACTGAATTGACTGTTGTCCATTCTTTGTCACTACACCTGTGACTCCTGATCTGCTATGATCCATGAGTGAGCAAATCTCATTTATGGAGAGAGAGAGCGGCTCCCCACTGAGTATTCTGGTTACCTTTACCCTCAAACACCAGTGCATTTGCCCTGCTCTTTGGAAATGTCACCTAAATAATATGCAGAGACTATTATAAGGGCAGCACATACCTCATTGAGGCGGTTCTTATTTTCTTCTATATAGCACTCAAACAGTTCATCCAGGACTCTACAAATAAAAAATCAAATTACTTCATAGGAGGAAAAACAACTTTTACCAGATGTACATAACCTAATGGCTATAGGTTTTTATTTTTCTTTCTTAGCTGAATGGCACCTCTAAGACTGTTTCAATTCCACTCTCACGAAGAGGGCTACCTGTAGTCAGCAACCCACTGGACACATGCTCAGCAGGCAGACCTGGTTCTGGGAAGCACACGACAATTGTGGGGTGACTTGTAGCACAACTATGTGTGTGTTTGATCTGTTGGGCCTATGTGCTGGGAGGAATCAACAATCCAGTAGTGATTCTACTGGCATGCTGAAGTATCCAAAATCTCTTGAATGCACCACAGTGGCTGCTGTACACAAGAATAAATAAAGAGAAGGAATAAAATCCAGACTCAGTAAAAAAATACAGAGAAAAGTCCTCAGTCCGGAGAGCTGTCTTCCATTTCTTAGGCTGAATGAGAAAAAAAATTCTGTAAAGAAAGTGTTCTCTGACAACTTAAGTAAAGAGTCACTGGAACACAATTCCAGAACATCAAGTGAATTTAACCTAGCTTACATGAGAAATTATTTAAAAAAAAAATGCAAGAAGAGTTCGAATGAAAGAAAACTACTGTAAAAGAGCCAGAGGGAGACTGCTGTCAAAATTTCTTGAACATTGATTTTTTTACTTGGTGTATTTAGTATTCTCATTGACAACCTTGATGTTAGAAGAAAAAAAGTAAGAATGCACAGAATAGGAAAAAACAGCTGGGAACATTATCAGTCCAGAGCAAGATCAGAGTACTATGAAATTAGACTGCCTTGAATGCAGAATTTCAAAAATAGGTTAAGATTTTTTATATATATTCTGTATATGTATAGAAATACTGCAATTTTTATTGCATAAATTGAGAGTTCTTTATTAGAAATAACCAATACATATTGAAAAAAAAATCCGATTTAGCAGCTGGTGAACTTTATCTGAAAGAGAATGTAACCCTTGCAACCCATGTTGAAGACTGAATTCATACTGGAACAGGAAGAAGGACAAAAGGGGGATAAAAGGACCTGTTGTGTAAAAGATTAGTAACTCAGTTTATTTAGAAAAACAGATGTTGCACACTAAAATGAGTTCTTAATATTATTCCACCTAGGGTTCCAGGTCAGTTTTTAACAGAAGCTTTTATCTCATGGTACATAGCAGCAGATCAAAGTCGATGACCTAAGGATATCTCCTAGCTCCCCTTTCTTACATAAAGCAAAAAAATATAGGAAACAAAACAAAAGCAAGGTTGTGTGTTTGTGCATATAAAGAAATTATTACTAATCACTACTTCCCTTACTTATGGATTTCTGATATAGTATTACAAAATTGAAAACAACTGTAACCTACCTGTTAGAAAATACGCCAAGTCTAAGAATTTCATTTGTTACATCTTCAATGAAAGTTAAATATAAAAGCTCCTCTTCCCTGCAGGGAGAATAGAAACCCCAATGTTAAATTCTTTACCACAGAAACACGTATGACATATTTTAGTCAGTTTAATCACCTTCACAGGAAAGGCCATTAAGATTTCATAGTTCTTGTATCAGCAGGTTTTTTTAATAAAAGGTAAGGCTATCACGACAAATGAAGCCTTTTGTTCAATCTGGATAATAATAAAAAACCTGCAAAATCTGAGACTGTTAGAAAGGAAGTCATGGTGCTTTGTCTTTATGCTAACTTTCTGTTGTAGTATAAATTAGCACAGAGATCCCAAGCGAGGGAATCAGTGAATCTTGGCAAGCGTTCAAAACTCAAGAAAGGGGAGCTAATTGGGAAGAAAGTGTACAACTGCGGTTTGATGCTCTGGGTAAAAGCTTCCAAAGGAGCTTCTAGAGAATATGACTGCAGCTGAAAATTTCTGGTCCTAAATGGAAACTGAGAATGATTAAACTGGTTGTTTGTCAGAGTCCACTAATTTTAACATATCTCCTTGATGTACAAAATCTTGTTAGTGTGAGAGGTGACTTTCACCTCTTACGTCTATTTTAATTCCTCTAAAAGAGCTGTTGATGCCAATTATCTTAATTCGGACACTCTCCAAAAATCTGGAGTTCTGCTTTGAAGACAATAGGAAAGAAAACCCCCAAAAGAAAATATTTCAGTGCTGTTTTTTTTTCATAGCATCTTTCTAAGTCTCCCAAAGCATCCAATCAAACTCTGTTGAGTCATTCTTCAGTATTAATAAACAGAAAATAAAAAATGGAATATATCATGCATGACTTTAATTACATAAAAATTGTTATCATGCCTAAATATTCTAATTTTGGTTCCCTCTATAGTCAAGAAAGTTACCTAAAGCTGGTATTTGAGACCTCTATTATAAGCCTAAAGTTAGGCAAACACAAGCCTGTCTTGAAGCACAAAGAATTAAATGACTTTTGCAAGGCCACTTGGTGAAGCATTAGTAGTGTTTCTGAACATAAGTCAAAACTCTTCTAATTTTCATCTAATTTTGGTGCAGAAATGTGGTAAGATTGCCTTTCAATTTGGTGTTTCATTTGCCAATATTTGCTTCAGAAATTACAGACCTAAAAACAAATGGAAACAAACTATAGGCACTATACAATCTTCTGAAGTTATAAAGAATTTTCTTTATTTTTAGATTCACTTAAATTTTTTTAAGTATTGTATATTCCAAGTTCATCAGTTTTGAAGAAAGCTTTCTAGTTTGATGTTATAATGAGCAGAAAAATGGTTTAAGTGTACTTACTCAGTATCGACAGTCCTCTTTAGTGAAGACTTATGAGGACAGCATGCTGTCTCCCTAATCAGAAAATCAGAGGTCAAGAAAAAGAACAACATTCTAACTACCTTGCATGTACATTTCTTCTGGAGTCATGGAGTGCCATTATACGATTTCCTTTTGCATAAACACCCACCATAACACCCCTAAGCTCTGCTCCATTAGCAAAGTCCCCTGCTGGCACTGAAACTTAAAAGACTATGGTTCAAGAGTATTTCACCATCTTACGTGATGCAGTGCTCAGAAGACCTCGGTACTACTTCAGATGCTGTTCAATTTCAGTTATCCATAAGTATGCTTTTTGAACTCACAGTACATTTTTTTTCCCTCAGACAAAAATGCCTTTATATGAAAAGGCCAGAGAGCAAATCAGCGAGTCATGCATGACACTTAGGTCAGCAATCAGGAGAATCAGCTCAGAGCCCTTGGGTTCTGGCCTGATTTCCAACACTGCTCCTGTGTTGTAGCAATCCCAGTATTAAGTGTCCAGAAAAAGATGTGGGAAATGCTCTGCAATGCAGTGTTTAGTTATAGTAATGTATAGTCTGTGAGCTCAGATGTACAGAACTAACACCTGTATTAATGTGTCTCAATTCTGACTCAATTCTTATGAAAATACTCATATATTTCAGAGCTGTCTTCCTTAACTGGCTTCCCAGTGGAACTTATCACAAGAAAATAATGAATTTTGAAGTTGAGAAAGGCCATTGATATTAAAAACCCAACAAAAGTCCTGTGAGAAGAAGACTTATAAAGAGAAATGCCAGTGAAGACTTATGGCCTAAGGACCAGCTGTATAGATAGTAACATTTCAAATATTCTCTCCTGTAAATCAGGCACCTTAGGATGGAGGCTTGACAGCAACCTACTCCTCTCCCATGCTCATCCAAAGTATGTCTTTTATCTTCAGCCTACAACAGAAATAAAAATCTTTACTTAATCAGTGCAAATACACAGTAAATTTTACCATTAAAATGAATCTAATAACTCTCTGTGATTAAGCAGCCCTAGAAATTCCATGTCTTTTCTGAGAAACTCTGAGTAAACAGACAAAAGGGATACCTTCTTCTGCAGGAAAGTCAATTATCTGTGACCTTAGCAGACATCTGATATTGCACTTATAGAAACAATTAAAAAAAATAAATTTGAGATCTCTTCATGTGCCTCAGTGTTTTTTCTTATAGTTTATACTCAATGTTTTGAAATTCTCTTTCCTCTGTGGAACTAATTCATGTCATGGCAACAGAGAGAAGAACACCTGGATCAGCTGTTCACTGCTGTGGCAGTGATGAAGTGAATTACCCCACTCTGGTGGTGGCAGGTATGGGAAGAGTACCCAGATGACCGATAGATAGATACATTATTACCTTTGACGTGATCTTCTGGTGTTTACTCATAACTTTTCTCACACACGTTTTGTCTGCAGCTGGAAAGCTACAAAATTTAGAGATGTATTAGATTCCCAAGTAGACTGCTTTCAAAATATGCAGAATGAGAATACCAGTGCCATTGTGGAAATGTCTCATCGGCCTTAACAGAATGTAGTACTGAACAGTTCAGAAAATCTCTGCCAGATACACAGGTGATTCAAATTAATTATTTAGCTGCATATTAGCAGGGGATAATAAAATATTCAACATGATTGTTCAGACTTAAGAATGGAGATTATCCTAAAATTAAAAGTACATCAGGAAAATAGATGACCCAGAGCCAGAAAATCAGCAGTTGCAATACAGAGCCAAAGCTATCATAACTCCAGTCTTAGGAAATCCCCAATTTATTCTATGACAAAACTGGAGTTGGACAGGCGTGGAGGACACAAAAGGGAAAATATTTCTCTTTACAAGGCAGTATCAGTATAAACAAAACTAAATCAGAACTGTTCAATTTGCTAAGAAGTTCAATGCAAGAGAAGGACATTAATTTTGTTTAAAATATTTTATATGAGGTATATCTGAAGATATTTAAATTCAAGTGACAAAAAAACAATGAAGAGCTGCATTCAAGAGTTAAAAAAGGATATTTGCATGATGTATTAACAGACTGGAAAGTATGAGACTACAGGGGCAATCGTGTGGAACTACTTGCATGCTTATATTGGTTAATTCTTCACAAGACAGAACATATACATCAGAGAGCATAGGGAGAGAGAGGGGATGATTATCACCAGCACATGTGAGATTCCACTGTTTGAATTTAGTGGCACTTCATATCCACTTTGTATAGATTAAATCAGTTGTTCCAGAAAGAAAACAGCAAAATGCACCAGTGAAAAAAGTAAAATCACATTCTGTCCTAGCTTTTGCTAAGGCAGATCTAGAGTAACATCAGAATAATTATTCTGGTTTTATACAAATGCAGTGAGAACAAAACATCTTGTTTTTATGAAGGCATTATGACAACATCTAAATTCCAGAGTTTCAAAATAAAGTTTCAATCTCTGTACCTGATCATATCAGTCTGTGTTTGAGCTTCCACACGCAGCTTGTGGTGATTTTTCTTCCTCCTTTGAGCAGGAGTGTAAAACCTGTAGTCTGACAGGAAAGGTTTAGCATCTGATATTAAGGTGCGTGGAGTAAAAGGTTTCCGGCTCCTAGTAAAGTATTCAGAGTGTGTCTCTAGGATATCCCCGCTCCTCGCTCTGTGGTGGTGTCCTCGACACTTGTGGGAACAGCCGATGCTCACCAAACTCTCGGTGGAGTGACTGCGTGACAGTACAGTGTGTTTAACTGGTGGCCTTGACACACAGATACTTGAGTTTGAGTAAGGTGCCCTGGTTGTATTCCGAGAACATTTCCTGGTGATTTTTATGGGACTGCAGTGAACCAAGCAATGCTCGGCACAAGGAGATGTTGCTTTTGATAGGCACTGTGCCTGCCCAGAACAGGGGAAGAGATTGTCTTCTACTTCCATGAAAGTCTAGAAAAAAAATAAAACAACAGCATTCCAAGTTACCTACTTTGCTTATGATGGTACTCCCAGCTACTACTGTTACCAACTTGGAGGTATTTTCTGTGTAAAAACTTTCTATTTTTGTAAAATCAAACTGGTTTCACACCAGTCTCAGTGCTAGGAGATTTTAAAACCTAACCACTGGAAATAAGAGAGTAATAAGCAAACAGTTTGCTTCAGTAACAGAACACCGGTGCTGTTACAGAATATTTATGGCTACATCAAACCAAGAGTTTAATCAATAAATTTTTAGAAGTCAAGAAATCATTGCACTGAGGCAAATTATCTGGATATGCTCTGTTCAAACCACCTGGGCAAACTAAGGTAGATATTATCCGTAATTATCCCATGCTTAAAAATTCAAGATTACTCCTCAATTGTATTATGACACTGTGGCAAAGACAAGTAAGACAGAAACACAAATAAATTCAAGTGGCATTTTAATGTGGAGTTTTTGGTTCTCTTGGTTGTCCGTTTGTTTGTTTTGTTAAATTAGAAAGAACAATTGAGTAAAAATTTTATTTCAGTCATAGAGAGAGTTTTGAAAAATTTGCAGTATCAAAGTATAAATACCTGGACAGGGTATGCATACTTGTAAATTTGCTTTATGATATGTCTGAAACACCTTACAAAAACAGCTGTTGAATGTTATTTTCCTACCTAGGATGTAGCCAACCACTGAATATTCTGTCAATCAGTGAAATTATGTATGACATGTTAAAACCTCCATGGGAAGGCATACTGCAGAACTGGAAGATTAAACCAGAAGCCTATCAGCAAACAAAATTTTGTATAAACCAATTTATTGCATCCATGCATGTAACTATTTATGAAATTCAGGTTCTGTTACACTCAACTGTATAATGCAGAAGAGATGACTTCCACTGTGTGTATTCAAACTATCCAGCACCACAGCTTCCAGAGACAGTGCTTACAGTGCAACAGTGAGGGAGACAAGTGAGGATAGTGTTATTCTGGAAAATCTCACTGCTGTACCATGCAACCAGCAGGGCAAAATAACAGCTGAATTATAACAACTGAGAAAACCTAATCCAAAACCAACAGCTAACTTTCTAAAATTACTATCATACTTTCCTAACACTAGAGCAGTTCATATAGGTCCACATGATCAGCAACAAAGTGCTGCAAGATTTTAAGAGAATGTATGCAAGTAGAGGTGTTTCCAAAGAAGCAAATTCAGTTTCTAAGGCCATTTGAGGTTTTTAACAAACTTAAAGTTTAGTTCAGATAGGCTAACACAGAAATTAACTTGTCCATATACCTCCACCACCTGAACAAAGAATAGGAAGATAAGGAGACACCAGTACAAAGGAAGAAAAGGAAGATGATTTCCGTATGTGATTCAATCACCTCTATTATACTTCTATCAAACAAGTAGAAAATATTAAGCAGAAGCATTACATTAACTGAAGTTACATGTGCCCTAAGAGAAGCCTGAGAAAGAGTGGATGCAGTATGGTATGACTTACACATATGCTGTGACCTGCATTTATTTATGACATACAACCATAATGGCAGTTGAGAAGATTCACAGATTCACCAAGCAGCCTATCCCGAGCTCACAATTAAGCTATCTGGAAACTACTTTGAAAGAATAACACTGAAACACAGATCCAGCGCATTTCCAATGGGGCTTCATTGCCTGAGCACAAATATAAACCTCGAGAAAATCCTCAAGAACACTTTTTGAAAAGAATCAGCTGATTAAGATGTGAATTGAAGGCTGGATGTGTGATTTTCCTCACCAGGCAGTGACAACAGACTGAATGCCAACAAAAGTCACAAAAACATCTCTAAAAGGAAGTGCCTGTGGGGATTCTGTAAGATAATCAATATTTGTCCTGAGACTTCTGAAGTCTTCTACTGGATGGGCATGGAGACAAAAAAACCCCACTGACCAAAACTGGAAATCTTTATACATTTATTGAAAATTCATGACATTCTAAGCTACAAATAGATAGTACAAGATAGTAATATATTACTAGTAAATCAGTAGGATACAGTGTAGTGTATTAACCTATATAATTGTTAGTATGGCTTGTAAAATATACAGATTTTCTATTGTACCATTCAACCCTAAAAAAAGTGTTCTTAAAAATTCTAAGCAATAGACTCTTACTGTATAAATTCTCCATTTTCTCATAACACTGCTACTGTTATTGGTTAGTATCTACACTATTTTATTCTTTTTCCTTTCAAAAAATACTTTAAATTAAAGTTCAATTATGATGAATATACATTTTGTAGCATGCAGTAAATGCTATTTACAGGAATATAAAAAATGCAGGTATTTTTTCATGAGAATCAAGTCACAGATCACACTGCTGTCATACCATATATTTTCTTCACAAAAATTTTCTCTCACATTAGTAAGACCTATCTAAACTATTGCAGTACCCCAAAATATCCAGTTGCTGGTGCCTAATGCAAAGAGGTGTTTTTTTTTAGTTAGCTGAGGCAAAATAAGCTCTTCTTGATGGTGTCTCATGTGAGTCAATTGTATTTTACTACTACAGCATAATTAAATGCTGAACTGATAACATGCCGTTAAAATGCCAAACAAATGCCTGTTAGCAAGCAGAATAATGAGGCTTACCAATGAGATTGTTTGCATATAAAGTAGCTGCAGTGGTAGCTCAGCACTATAGAAAACAGATAAGACTGGAAAGTTTCAGCATCCACCTACGTAGATAAAAGCTAATTCCACACCCTTCAGTGTATACTATAAAGAGCTTAATTCTTATAAATGCTTTACTCTTAGTGACTAAATCAGTTCATTAAGCTGCAATATAAATTGGATTGCAGAAGCATTTGTGAGCATATGAGGACTGGTTCCCCGCATAATGCAAAATAATTATTAAGAAAAGATACGAAGCTATATTAACCAATTTATCTATACCTCATGAAAATGACATGTTCTGTTCCTCAGAAGCAGTTGAGGAAAACAAGACAAAGGCACAAGGTTGACATGGCTATATCCTAAATTTAAGCAGTCCTTATATATAGGGCAGTTATCTTCTCCTTCTCAAATATTTCCTCAGTGGAACAGACCAAGTAGCTTGCTAGTGACTAGGGAGAATTGCAACCCAAAGCTGCATCCGTGTCAGCTGTGAGATGTACTCATTCAAATGCTGAGAAAATAATGTCTTTCAAAGCCCTTATCCTGTGGCAAAACTTTACTACTCAAACAGGGAGAAGTGCACTCCAAGTAGACAAAGAAATAATATCATGAACAAGGAACTATGTCACTTCAAAGGATTCTAAGGAGTGTCAGAGAATGCTGTTTTGTCTGCAGTTTGTCTCTTTTGAACTTTCAGAAAATTATCCTGTTTTGCAAGTAAACTGTAAGCAAGTATGCTCACTTTCTGTTTTAGTCTGTTTTCTATAAAAACATCAGATGTTTAAGTAGGAAACAAAAAAGACAAAAACATGCCTACAAATAGCATACTTACTAAAATATATTTAGTTCTATTCTTAAAAAAATTCCATTATAGTATCTGAGCTTCAGCTATTAGAACTATCAAGAACTATAACTAATGTGATTTGGAGTAAAAAATCTTGGCTTATATCTTGCTTATATCTATTCTGTTGATTTAACCAAGTATAATCTGTTTTGAAAGATACAAATCTACTTGATACATTTCAGCAACTCCTTTAAGAAGTTTCATAAAGTATGCACTTATGCTTCAATTTTTTTGGTCACAAATTGGGGTAATCTGAACAGTACTTTGCAGCAAGCATGTAGAGAGATGACCTCTGAATTGAACTGAAATGAATTTTCATGGACTCTGTGGAAGACAAAATTCAGTAAAAAGAGATCAAAGCATACTGCTGTCATCTGATGGGCAAAAGTAGTAACACAGAGAGAGAATCCAGACTTCTCTATAAGTTACCTTCTCTTTCTACAAGTTAAGTGTCCCAGCTCAAAAGCCACTAAAGTATCAGCTGCCTCATAAAAAACAAACTTTGAAAAGAAAGGTTGCTAAATAGTTTTTCACATAAAAGGTCCAAGGCAGCTCTCACTGGGGTTGCTGAAACTACAGTAAGATTAATTTAATCTTGAAATTAACTTGGTTTTGTATGAAAAAGGTCTTCCAGTAAAATAGTTCATCTGCCATCATAAAATGAGATCAAAAAGATGCTTTATGAACTGCACTGTCAAGATACAGAAGCTGCAAATTTGCAATAAATGAGTGTATGATTCTTTTAACTTGAGAAATCCATTTAAATATTGCTCTAAGTCAGCTGAGCACCTGCTCACTGCTGTCTGGACAGAGCAAAGGTCTCCTATAGGAAGTGACAATCTGCCTTTAGAGAAAATTCATACAAATATGTGAACAAATTGGACCTTCTATGAATATATTCAGTTTCTAGCCTGGTATCACTATTTTTCAAAACTAAGTTCCTGGTACACTCTTTCATTTTGTGCATGTGTGTGTGGGTATCAATCCTATAATGTGGTAGGTTCCTCCTTTTATCTGCGATGTTATTAATTAGGGTTATTACTGAGTGTGCATTAATTCAAACAACCAGCACAAGAGGTGATTGGCACTATGAAGCCCAAAAGGAAACCTGAACATTCCTAATGAAAACAGCTTTCTTTGATGCTCAGAAGGTTCTTCTGCCTTGTTTAGTCACTGACATCTCCCATTATGACAGAACTAATTTGAGCACAATACATGTTCAGACTGCTGGTATCATAAGAGCATAATAAATATTTAAATATAAAGCATTTGAGTAGGCATTTCACACAGCCACATGTGTGTTGCATTCAAAATTAACAAGAGAGTAGAAGCACTTAATGGTGTTTCCCAATCTGTATTTCATATGCACAAGCAGATGGCCACAACTTTCATTCTTCAGAAAAAAGAAATCTCAAAAAACAGGCTGAAAGTGATCTTGAAATGTCAGGCAATAGCATACATCAAACCATTAAAAGAGAAAATTTAACCTCCTATGAAACAGCCCTCCTTCAACTGACTTTTGGCATGGATTAATTAGTTTTAAAAAATTCATTAGCAGACAGAATTTCTTAACAGGATTACTTGAACATAAGATATGAAATACCAAGTGCTGTTCAAATCAGAAACCTTACTCTTGGCCAGCTCAATTCAGGTAGAATTTTAGAAAATCTTATTTTGAAAAGCAAAGGAAAAAGCCACACTTTGTTACAGTGCATCCTTTTATTTTAAAACTGGGAGTTCATGCAGTGATTAAAGACTCATGTTACTTGGTTTTGCAATGAAACAATTTAAAGAACTTTGCCTGCCCCAAATTTGCAAAAAAATAACATGGAAGGACAAAAATGGTATTAGTCAGAAATAAAATTTAGATTTTAAATATCACATTTCCTCCCTTTTCTTCTTCATGCCTGTGCTTTCAACCATAACTGAGAGCCATGTATTGAATTTCAAAGCACTATTTCTCTGCACTGCAATAAGGTCACTCAGGCTGCCTGCTACAAAAATCAGTCACACAGAAACTGATGGTTTGCTGTACTACTTGGAGATGTCCTCTAGCTTTACAGATATTTAAACAATGTATGAAGCTTATGCTGTTAGAATCACAGAGTTAAATCATTATTCTGTTTTAAGCTGCAATTGCTCATTTACAGCGATGAACAAGAATGTAATTTATTGGATTATTTACACATTTATTAGTTAGAAATACACACCACATATCTTGATGAAATGCTAGCCAAACTAAGTGAACCTATGCATGTAAGCAGAATATATATGTACAGAATGGTGTGTTTTGGTCTAAGCACTACTTCTGCTTTCAAGAAATGCAACTGAATGATTTAGTATACTGGTAGATAAAAAATGTATTACCCACTAGGACTTTTCATTAGGAAAAAAATGTGAGATTCCTGATTCTTCTGCTTGGATGGATAGAGGTAACAGAGTTCTGCTTTAAGAAATGGTACAAAGCTCTGGAGTGACAGAGGACTGGAATTTCAGCTGAGGTGAAAGCAAGAGAATTCAAGGGGTAATTAGAGCTTGTATTTGCAAGCACTCCTCATCCAAATACCTAACATCTCTGTCAGAAGGTCAAGACATTCATTCAGTGTTGGGCACATGCCAGGAAGACCCCTATCTACTTTCTGCTACTTCAAAGATTCCCTCACTGCTGCACAGCAGTGATCAGCTGTTACTTTGGGGGCCAGTATATGATAGTATCTACTAAACAGAATTAAAACACATACCTTTTTAAAAGAGGATGGCAGTGGCCTTCCATTGTCTTTTGAACAGGACTGAGAGGCAGCTTCACACATACACATTTTCTGTTCACACTTGCCCATCCTCTTTCTCAGTTTCTCTCTTCTTTGCTGGTCAGCAACTTAGGGAAGAGACAAAGTTGGTCAGATCCAAACTGAAATATTCTTTGCTTCCCTAAGTGATTTGCAAACATTATAGTAGTTTCCAACTGCTCAGCAAAGTCAGACTATTGAGATAAATTTCACTACCAATACACAGCAGTTATAAAATTTGTGTCTATTCTTGGAAGAAAAATTATTAATAGAATACGCTGGTAGCTGAAGTTATGTCTTAACTTTCCTGAAATTTTCTTACCTCGCAACAAACACCAGCATACAGGACTTCCAAGATCAGTATTTCTAACAGAGCATTTTGCTCAAAAAGTTACAAATTCTCTATCAGTTTTTTTACAGGTAGAACTCCTTTGACTGTACTTTCATCCAGTATTTCAGAATAAACCCTGTGTTTATTGTTAGCAAATCTGACATGTAAAAAAATCCATGCCCACAATATGGAGTTTCCTAAATAGAGAAATCCAGGGCAGAACAAACAAGTTTTTGTCAAGAACACAAAAAGAGGGCTACTTTCCGATCAGGAGTGGAGAATTTTTATCAGTCCACACTGGTCTGCAGTTCAAGACCTCATCTGCAGTGTGAGAAGTTGAGTCAGATATCTATGTCTTCAGATAAAGAAGCCCAAAAGATGGGTAAATTTTCTGTGTATGAGTTTGCCATCATTCACCTGAATCTTACATAATACAGACCAAAGTTGCTGCAGATTGTGAGCAGCCATGTTTCACAGATGAAACACAAAATCATTTATGCTGGAAAAAACCTTCAATAGCGAGTCCAACCTTTGATCAATCACCACCTCACCAACTAAATCACAGCATGAAGTGCCATATTGAGTTGTTTCTTAAACACTTCCAGAGGTGGTGACTCCACCACCTTTCTGGCCAGGCCATTCCTATGCTTGATAACCTTTTCCATGAAGAAATTCTTTGTGATGTCCAACCTAAATCTCCCCTGGCACAGCTTAAGACTTTGTCCTCTTGTCCTGTTGCTGGTGGCCTGGTGGAAGAGGATGACCATCACCTGGCTACACCCTCCTTTCAGGCAGTTGTAGAGAGTGATAAGGTTTCCCCTGAGCCTCCTTTTATCCAGGCTAAACAACCTCAGCTCCCCCAGACACTCCTCAGAGAACTTGAGCTCCAGACCCCTCACCAGCCTTGTTGCCCTTGTCTGGATACACTCCAGCACCTCGATATCTTCCTTGAAGTAAGGGCCCAGAACAGGACACAATACTCAAAGTTCACAAAGTTGAAAAATCCAAATGAGGCTGATGAAACAGTAATTTCATTTCCAAATAGGGAAAAAATAAACAAACAGTCTGTATACCAAATGAAAATATTCTCATTCACTTAACACATATCCAAGTGTATGAATCATTTATTTGATAGAGATACACAAAGGCCTTTGAGGATTTCTTCTCTGGTTTCATAATATATTTATATCATACTCTGGGAGACCCCAATCAGCACATGCACTACTATATTTAATGCATGGAAATGTAAAAAACTTCAGGGATTGGTGTGGAACATTCTTCTACACAGCTGAGACCTATAGCAATCTGAGGACATTTAATCAACCTTTAAAATGCATTCATCTGTGTACATGTACCCGACATACAAGTTAATCTCCAGGAAATACTTAAGTAAGTGTATTCATTGCATTAAACATTTTAGTCCCCTTTTAAGATAGAATTTAATCTTTCAGATGTGAAATCTTTGCTCTCATTGCTCAGGAAAATACCTCTTTATCTTTTAATTCTTAGAATTGATATGTAAAATACAGAGTTATTTCTTTTATGGCTGCTGATTTATCCATCATATGCTATTAGAGCACTTCTAATATGAGACTGCTTAAATTACTGAAAAAATATTAGCTGAAGTTAACAAATGCTACATTATACAACTCTGAATTAAAAATATACATTGTAACACAATGATGAAATATACTGCACCATTAAATAATTAAAACTGAATGTTTTTCTATACTGAGTTATTGCATCTGTTCTAAATTACTGTTATTTCTAATTGTGTTTGTTACAGAGAGTTACTGAGAAGTACTCAAAAATTAGCTACAGGTTAGACATTTTACATGTTTGAGACAAATAATTACTTATTCTGGGCCAATACAGCGTGTCTGTGTGTGCACATGCATGGAAGCTGTAAAAACTCCCATCTTGCCTACTGCTCAGGTAAAATGGTGATGGCTGATTGAACACATATCTAGAGAAACAATGTGTGAATGAGAGCCCTACAGAGCAAAAATGCAAATCATACAGAAGTATGGGTAAGGGTGAGTAGGTGTCTGAAACAGCAAATTCCTCATACTCAGGTGCTTAGGTGAAAAGTGGGTTTGTCTAAGACAACACAAGCTTTAACACCTCACTGCATGTTCTACCCACGCACCATGGCTTAACTGGAGTGTTGGGGCAAAGCGCAAAGCAGAGTGAATATTACTGCAAAACAGAATTCCCACGTTATCCTTATTCTGCTCTTTATAGGAGAAACTCTGAAATTTGACATACATTAATGCCTTTACTACGGGCATTCAAAGCTGTTAAAAAAACCTCCTCCGGGACTCTGTGCTATGACTTTTCACCCGAAGCATGGCTTATGCCCAAGAATAAAGAACAAAAGAACAGTAAGTATTCTAGCTAAGGCTATCTTGAGATATCAGAGCAACCCACTGGGACTACCATCACCTGCATGGGAAATGTGGAGTCTTTGCCTCACACCTATCATAGAGTTAACTTAGCTCAGCTAATCCATTAAGTGTGCTCCAAAAGCCATAGTCACTCATGTACTGAAAGGCAGCACAGAAATGCAGAACAGAATGTCAAAACTCGAGTAATATACACATCTTATTGCCAAATCAGGAATTTTCAGGCTATATCTGTGGTAGAAGCTAGGAATTTTGAAACCAGCAAAGTAAAAGATAGAGAAATCCTTCTTAAAAAGAGTTAATGTAGATGTAAACAGACAGCTGGAGGTAAGTTAGGACAGCTCTAGGCAGTCAGCAAGTAACACAGACAAACGTGGAAACAGGCACGTTGCCCAAACTCTCCTTAGTTCACATGTCCTTTACCCATGCAAGGAATGGAGAATCCAGGCTTATGCTTTGACTTCAGCCAGATAGATAACTTGCCTGCAACTTTGGGGCACTAATTACAATATTACAACTGAGAGGAGCTGAAGATACTTAAGGCTGTCATACATAACCGCTTGTGTTGAAGTGTGAATGTATTAAACACAGAAAGAAAGAGACCAGCATTCAAGAGACATTGCATTTCAGAAGGGAGATTTAGCTTTTAATTGAAAACATTGTTCACTCTTCTGCTTCAAATCCATTACAGATACAAAGCTTCTTTAGCTTTCAGTGAGGTTCATAAACTAAATTTGAAAGAAGTGCCCCTGGCAAACTGCCATAGACTAGTGGGAAGTAAATATAAACTGCATTTGTTAACAGATACTTGAAACAGTTTCACTGCAAGTAGCTTTTATTTGAACATTGGCTCCAGGAACACATCACATAGGTAGAGTTGAATATGGGGAAAGTCCATAATGGTAAGTATCTTGTGACAAATAAATTAAAAAAATAAAATGAAACCACTGGATTACTTTTCATCTTTTAAAAAGGGGAAAACAAAATGTTTAGGAATAAAATAATAGTCTGGAGATGCAAATAATGAGTCCCTTTAAAAATTTTATTATACCTTTAGAGATTAACTGTATCTCATTAATTACTATGCTCAAAACCCCACAGATTCATAGTACAGAAAATGTACTAGAATATAAACAATTTAGTGATTCTGTAGATCAGATAAATTCAGTCTGTGAACCTTGATTCCATAACTTACTAAATCAACTCCATGAATCCATTTTCTTAATTTTTTTGTCAGTGAAAGGAAGCACAAGACTATGAATTTCAGATGTTAAACTGTAGCACTCCTCATAAAGAGAAACCTATAAAACACCGATCAATCTGTCACTTTTGCCTAGGCAAATACTCTTCGCAGAGTACACCACACTTCAAAGCAGTGATCACATCACCCTACTTCCCTTTTAGAATACTCCCTCTATAGGCTTAATTATTTTTTCTGTAAGTCTAGACTGCAGCAGCATTTCAAGACAGAGTTATAAAACAGATGTCATAAATCTGGAAGAAACAAACTAATCATATATATCACAGCCCTGGTCAGCTTGAAAGCTCTGCACTTAGAAGGACAGTGTGATCTGGAATGCCAGTGGTTGTCCTTTGCTCTGAATTTCCAACTGCTAAATTTATCATGTCACATCACAAAACAGTTGGCAGTCAAACTTCAAGTTATTTCATTTTTGATGTGAATAATCGATGGCAGACAATGAAATATAAAGTTGGATTTAAATTTAGTTCAGCTTGCAGAACAATGTATCTTAAAGGAATTATCCAACACTCAATTTCTCTACTGTGTTTTTATATAAGCTATTTTTGCAATAACATGGTTTAAGTTACTATTTCCCTTTAAAATTTTTAAGATAAATCATACAAACATCATCTTGGCTGAGCTTGAAATGCCTAGTGGCCATAATTAAACTGTCCAGCATATCAGTCGGTGGTATTACTTCTGTAAGTTCTTCTGTCTCAAGGAATTTTTACTATCAGTTTCCTAGCTCTACATGAATTTCCAATACACCATGATTTAAGCACCTGGGTGAGATCTCATCAAATGCAAACTGAATTTTGCCATTAGCCATGAAGTTCAGGTTTCTTACAAGTCTAAATCTAAACTCATTAACACTAGAAATTTTAATTTTCGTAACTCAAACAGATGATTTTGCAACCCATCTTCACATCCGGTATCAGTGGCACTGTTTCATCAAATAAGGGAGGAATCACCATAAAAAAGGGTGACAAAGTATTTACTAAGGGCTAGATAGTAAAGCCTTGCTTGTATCAAAGTAACAACTATATAAGGGTATGTACCTCAGAAATCTGATACTACTTGGCAAAGCTACTAATGGCAAAATTTGGTCGTTGCTAAAACGCCTAACAGTGAGATATGAATCCTTCAAAGGCATTTCAGAAGAGGCTAGAAGCACTGGGTTATCCCAAATCCATCCAGCCCTGATGCTCCTATGGGGTCCTCATCCAGCAGATGTCTCTTATATACTTCAGTCAGCCATATGAAGAACATAGCAGCCTGCCAGCAGTGACTGCACAGAACCTGTGGAATACTGCACTAGCCCTGAAGGAAACATCTAAGCCTGCCCAGGTAAAACCCCATTTGTGCACCCTAGAGAGATGACCATTGGGTTTCTAGGCGACCTTTGACTGTGATTTTTTTTTTTAAGGTACCACTGGGGCAGCCCTCAAGGACAATTTAGACACACTGTACTGAGATAATGCTGGAAATAAGTGGAATCCATAATTTTATTCTTGTTCTCTGGTATGCTATTGCTATTTTGTAATCCTGAGTAATGGTGGACAATTGTATAAGAACAAGTAGACAGATGGTAAAGCTGGGTAAATTAGATTAAAAATAAGGGGCACATTTTCAGTAATAATGATGAATAACTACTGAAACATCCACAAAAGGAAACTATGTTTTCTCTATTTCTTGACCTTTACAAGTCAAGACTACAGGCTTTTCTTGTTTTTGTGATTTATTTACCACATCCAATATGGCTGTTAAGTTCCACATTAGCACAGCTGGATTGAACTTTTGGTCTGCTTAACTCATGATGTCAGACTAAATGATCTAAAGTCTTTTCAAACTATAAATTGTGAAAAATATATTTTTGATGTGGATATCTAAAATTAATTATCTCTCAAAAAAAACCAAGACTTTTTATTATAGAAGAAACTTTACAGTAAATAACTTCTGAGAAAAAAGAAGATCATCACATTTAAAAGTAAAGATTCATGATGATTTTTTTACCTATAAGTTTTCCTGCTCACCAAATTTCGGACTTGATAAATATATTAGAACACCTTTCCAAAGACATAACACAGGCATAAGAATTACCTGAGTGTCTGAATTTAAAGAGCTTATATTAGTTGCTTATAACTTTAATTTTCAGAAATGCATACTTAAGGACAAGATTTAACAGAAAAAAAAGGCTAGGATGATTCTGTGAAAACTTCCTTTAAAATGGCAGCAACAACAAAACATGTAAGTTTTTCATAGATCTCTGCTTTTTCATTATGTAAAGTGTGGACAGATATATGTGTTCACAGGAAAAATTAAGATTTAAATATAGAATTATGTAACAATATGTATTTCTTGATATTTTTGCTTGAACTTAACCCCTTTAAAGGGTAGAAAACCAACATTACTATCAGTCTGAATTGCTGCCTCTCCTCATCTCTTACTGCCCTCCAAGAATTCAAGTTCCACCAGGCTAAAATAGATCTATGGTGGGTAACTTCTCAGAATATTTGTTTTCCTTCTTCTCTCCCTGCCCCAGTATCAGAGACCTGCATTCCTGAGCACACTAATCACTGGGTTCAGGCTGTACTATCAATATGCCTTGTGGAAAAACCTCTAAACATATGGGTTGAAAAGTTAGTACTGCTAGAAATCAGGCATGTGTAGCAGCAGCTGTCTTACTTGGCATAGCCTTTGTCAAGTTTTCTGGCACAAGTTTCACAACCACAGACTTCTAATGGCTACTGGTATCAATCAACATGCTTGGACTAATTCTGAACATAGAAGTTTCACATTTCAAGAAGTTTCACATTTTAACAACTATTTTAAGTCAGTAAGCCTGATCTAATACACAGGAACATGCTCACTGCTAGCCCAGGGGCATGGCAGCTTGCCTGCTTTGCTGCCAGCTAAGATACCAGGAAAGAACAGTGGAAACTAAATCCACTTTAAGGACAGAACACATTCAGTTGGCCAGAGAGAAAGCCAACTACAGTATCATGTTTAATTCTTAAACACTAATGACTGATTCATGGCAACAACCCCAAAGGGAAATACTCACCTGCTATTCTAGCAGTACAGGAAGCACATTTTCAGGAGACTTTTTTAACACTATCTGCAGGAATTCTGTTTTGTAACTCTATGCTATTAATAAATCTTATAATTTAAAACTCAATTTACCCCCCTGCCCAAATCTCAAAATAGAGGGGAAACAGAAACTTTATTTGGAAAGCAACAACTAGTAAGACAAACACAAAGAGAAAAAAGTAATAATATGCTTCAGTTGAAGCAATGACAGGCAGAGAAATACTGTGAGAATAAAGGTTCAAACCCCTCATCCTCAGTGACACTATAAGGATACTCTGATATTCAATTATACTGAAGTTGAAATTGTGCCTGGGTAAGTCATGTGTCTCATCTTGAGCAAGAAAGAAGAAATTGTTTTGAAAGTATTCTAAAATCCCTCTTCCATTACTTTTCTTCCTCAGCACATTTTCAACATTATTAATGTCTGAGCTATTGGCTGTCATCTCCACATAATCTGTTTCACAAAACAAGAGAGAAAGAAAAATGATTCTCCAGTGGTTTACCAGAGACTCTACAAATGGTACCTTGCACTGAGCTTAACACCTGAACATGTCACACTTGGTTGCACGGTTATCACAGTACAGAAATCTGTATTTCTTAATGAACAATGCATAGAACTGCAGGAAAAAACTGCAACCACTCTAATTTTAGGTACAAAATGAAATTGAAATAATTTTTAAATTTCATTCTAAAAAACTAGAATTTATAAGGATAGTGCAGAAACTGAACAAGATATGCCTGGGTAAACTTAACTTTAAATACCTTGAAGTCAGTGAGACAAACAATGATGAATTTGAAAGCAGGTGTTTCCCATGAAATTACCTCTATGATAAGTGCAAAACTTTCAGCCTAAATGACAGTTTCTTATCTGTTTGTAAAGGAACCTCAGTCAGATGAAACAGCATACAAAGGAAAGAGGGTTAGAAAAAAAATATCAGTTACATGCACACATTGAGCAGTGAGAGAAATCCTCAAAGGCTTTTTTTATTAAGAAAGGTCCAGGATTTTTGTACCAGATACTTAAGATTATCCTATCACTTGCAGTTGAGACCCTTTTGCCATTGACAAATGAATTGTCATGCTAAGCACAACTAATCACCAACAGCCCAGATCCATCTATCCAACATTCCACTCGATGCAGATTGAATGCATCTACTGGTAGCTGAAGGATGTGAAAGCTGAATAAAGAAGCAGACTCATGAACACTCAATTAAGGGTTATATGCTTTTGTTACTCTTCTGCTGGCTCTTTTGCTGAGTTAGTTTTACAGAACCATTTTCAGAATCAACATATAACAAATACTTACGTTTGATGCTGGTCGACCTACTTTTGGGTGCTGAACAGTCTACAGCTGCTGAAAATAAGAAAAATACCAAATGTGAGTGATTCAGTATTTACTTAGTATATGTGAAAGCTAGAAAAATGTAGTAATAAACCAACACAGAATGAAGACTAATTTAATTATTGTCTACTTTAAAACATGCTAGTTACTGTGTACTTAAAGTATTAGGTTGATACTATTATGGTCACAGGATTTGAGAGATAAAGCTGTCTGGGTAAAACACATATTTAAAGAAAGAACCATCACTTAAATGACGACATTTTCCTCTGATGGCATTTACCTGCATACCTGAGGATACTGTGTGTTACATGAGAGATAACATTGTGAGTACTGTATTTGTGAGTATGGACTCTGTCAGTAACATGATTTTCTCATTTGCAAACACACAGGGCAATTTTCGCAGTCCTTAGAACCTGCTATTATTATTCATTGGAAGATGAAAAAAAGATTACAAAGTTTTAGAATTAAAAAAAAATAGAGACATAGTGATCTGAGTTTATCTAGAAATGTTCTGCCTTCATTCCTAAAATAATTTCTGTATATTTGCTGTTATGCCTATCACTATGACTTTCTCTTCAGCATATTATTTCATAATTCATTATTTCATCAAAAGCAGAATGAAGCCAACACAGCACAAAGTGTTCTAAAATTAAGACAGGATCTTTGGTAACACTTAAAGAAAATGTTTTCATACAAAATTTCCCATCTCAATAATACAAAAGTATTATTAAGTAGCAGCCACATCTCTTTGCTGACAGGTGTAAGAAACAGGAAGAATAGTAAACTTCCTACAATCCAGTTCATTTCTTCTTGGTATGAGCCTATTCTGAGAGACTGAGCTAAATATAGGGGGAGACAGTTCATTCATACATGCACATTTTTACCTTTGGCTGAAAGAATTCTGTTATAATGAAACACCATGTGATCTCTGATCAGATATTGACTACCTAGATTTCGAGAGGAGTCAACGCACAAAGCTGTAAGATTAAAATACATTTGAACATTAGAAAGGCAATCAAAAAATACTGAAATTTTAAACAGTTATTAACTGCAATTCAAAGTCACAAACTTCAAAACACTGTTTAACTTCTTTGCGTAAAGGCAGTATTTTTTATTACCAGTTACTATCACATGAAATCATCCTGTCTCCTTTTTCTTTCCCCAATGAGCCATTAATTCATTAAATAGCTGCAAAAGTGGCCGAAACTGTACTATGAAAATGTTAACATGGAAACTTCCTGTTTCTTTACTCTGTTCTTTTGGAAAAAAAAAAAGCATTTGAGGTGTCAGTACAGCACAGAAACATACACTAGCCATGTAAAATACTGACTCTAAAGGAAAATGTTTAACCTTAGGGTTTTTTTAATACAGTAGACAAATAGATGTATGTATGTACATTACAGCTAATAAAGATGGGAGATCTTTATATATCTGTTCATCTTGCTACCAATTTGTAGCTAGCAGTACAGTCAAGGCAAAACTTAATCCTTGAAAGTATTTTCAGTAATGCATACTAAATGTAAGTACAATTAAACTTCTCCAAATAAGCTCAATGCAAAAGTTTTAGTAAAAACATTATAAGCTTAAAATCAATGAATTCACATAAAAGGAACCAGGTCGACCTTCTGATGAAAGTACATGTCACTTACCATTACTCTTAGTACTTAAGTGTCCTTTACATGGACTTGCTGGACCACATCTGGGCATGCCAACGCCTGAGTTTACAATTGCTTTAACAAAACATCAAAGAAAAACCAAAAGTTAGAGAAAAATCCCCACACATATTTTCACAGACAAGATAAAGTCTTTATCCAAAGTATGCACATATAGTTCTAATGGATCTTTTCCAAAATCTCATTCAATCATTTTATAATCACTGAAGTAGAAATTCAGTAGTAGTTTAACTAAATCTAAATGCCAAGATACAATGATAGTGCTTTCAGTGGTTCAAGGTGCTAAGCAGCAGAACAGACCATCAGAACACTTTATTCTGAACTTTACACTGATCATTAAACTGTACAGATATATGGCCATGATTATGTTTCTATGCTAACCTCCAATTTGTTTCAAAGTCCCATTCATGGCACTTCAATAGACTGGGAACTCTATAGTCAAGTGGAGATGCCAACAAAACTTAAACCACCAGTTGTTCTGAAGAATGAAAAATGTAGACTAAAAGATCTGCATCTCCTCTTTGAAAACCACTGGCTGTCATGCAACCTAAGATTTAAAAATTGGCACAGGAACTAATTAAGAATCCGCAGCACTTTTAGAACAAATTTGAACAGGAGATATGCTAGGACTACAAATACTAGTGTATACAGAGCACTGCTTTAAGTCATCCATGGCATATAAAATGTAAACCAAAACAAACAAGATTTTTTTAAACAGGGTAAATATACCAACCACACTTACTTAACATTAATTCTGAAACTAGAACTCGTAGACGAGTTCTACGGATTTATTACTATTAACTATCAAGGTCCACATGGTCTTCCCATTCCCATCATACTTCTCAGCTGTCAGTTCAAGAGTCTGCAACCACCATGCAGGTGAAGTGGGTAACTCCACTGCTCTACTGCTCCTGTTGACCTCTGGCTTTCCCCCTTTCATCACATGAAGAAGCACACTGGACCAACCCAGTATGAGCAGGAATCTCTTCCAAGTGACCTTAGCTGGGGTGATAAAGGCTGACACCACTACAACTGATCGGGGGATGCAGGAAGCCTTAATGACAGCCATGCCACACATGGTAAAAGCTCTTAATCCTGCCTCTCATAGCTTACCTCCTGCATGCCCAGCACCTGGCTGTCTGGGGCTTCTTTTTCAGTTCCCACTGTTATATAATGACTGTTAAAGTACTATTGCAATTACATATATAACTACTGTAGTATATAGCTGTTTTTAAGTCCAACAGTGCAGAGGAAGTCCAGGAGGTCAGACAGACCTCCAGACCCAGCTGCAACACAATAGCATGTTGTGCAAGATGGTTAATATGATGTCTTAAATATTAATTCGTAGAGATTGCAGAAAAAAAAAATCACTCATTTAACAATGTTTTAACATTATTTCTCTATAGGCCTTATAAAAAAGCCATACTGTGCTTAATTTTGAATGACTAGGACTAGTATAGTAGTATCTTAAGTAGCTTATGAAAAAAAAAAGAAAATGAAAATAATTTTGCCCTGTTGTGAAATGACACTAAATCTGGATCAATAGATTCAAACTCCTTTCTTACAAAGCACAAAAATACCAGGACAATCTTGAATTATTTTCATACTTTGAAAAGCCAGCCTCTATACTGTACAGGCTTCTGTGGATTTACATGACAGTATTAGCTGTGGTGTTTGCAATAATTGTGGTTCCACTCCTTTTGCTGCGAATTGCCAGACCAACAGTTGAAAAAGGATAAAGCAACAAAAAAGAAAATGCTACTGCAGATTTTTTCAACACTATCCTGTAATTATTTTAACTTTATACTGTTATTTTCAAAGCCAAAGGACAACATTCCTGCTCATCTGTATCAATTTCAAATTGCTCATGGTACAATTCTTCCTTATCTCTGTGATTTAAACACACATTGGAACAAATGAGAAATTAATTTTTCAAATATTAAAATTCCTAACATACAGCAAGAATTTGTTAGATTCAGAACGTTTCTACAATGACTGCAAACCTTTGCCAATAAAGCCTTTCTTTCCTGCTAAAATATTTTATTTCTCTACCTTACACTACTACATACAAGTGGTATTCACAGTCTAGCTGGATCCACCCTGAAACCCATGACTTTGAGCACTTACAATATGCAGGTGTTGGAAGAATGCAAGTCTTTGGGAGAATGTAAGATTATAAATTTCAGTTGATAGAATCTTCTCTAATGATAAAAACCTGCATGTATATATATCTTCAATCTGGATTACAGCAGACAACTGAGAATCAGAAGTGTTTCATTCACAATTGTTCAAATAACCTAAATATTATTCCACTGTTTTCTGTGCTTCAGAGCTAGGCTATAATTCCAGAGGGAAGCACGTGTGGTACTGTTAGGTAAATGCTTACAATACCTCCTCTTAACTCAGCCCTATGTGACAGAATCCTAAAAGGGCAAGCATGATCACTTAAAAAAAGACCACATTGTTCTCTCTACAATTGATTCTCTTCTAGTTAGCTAAACGACTTTGTCCTGCGTTAAACACCACCAGGGACCCTCAGAAACCTGTTGCCTTTACTGTCTTCAGCTGGAGACGCGACTATTCAGCACTGCAGGAAGACCAGACTTTACAATGTTCACTTGCTTTGCATCACCACAAGATGGCACAGTGGAAATTCTACCGGAAAAATTACCATCAGCTGGTTTTGTCCTTTACAATGAATTTGTATCCAGCTTGCGGGAAAGGAGAAGGGAGGGAGAAATAAGTCGGCATCAGTATTTCATTGGCAAGAAAAGCTGTCAAAAAGCATCAGTTGAGAGAAATAAAAAATATTCCTGTGCCCTCTGTTTTGACTATGGACATATATAGACAGCACAGAAATGACTTATAACGAAGAAGCAGGTTGCTAATGTCAGAGAAGAAACTGGAGAATTTGATATGTGCAGGCTACTTCTACCTTACTGAAGGTAGGAAGTGCTAATGGCCAAAAGTTTCACAACTGTAATTTCAGGTTGTCTTTTGACTTGAATGGGTATTTATTCGGTATTTATTTGTTTTCACAGTTATTTGCACAACAGCAGAAACAAACTGAAGGCTTAGATATATGAAGAGAATTTTTAACGAGAAGGTGGGATTTTCGGTAATTTACAGTTAATCAAATATAAACCAAACAATGGGAGGAAAACTACAAAAATATCTTTGATATATGACACATGTAACTATCTGATATAAATGTAAATTTCCTTATAGGTCTAAGTGGACTGTCCATACTGAATATAAAATCAGGATTTTCACACTGAGTAGTCTCCTAAAGTACAGAGAGCAAGCAAATTAAATAAGTCTAAAAATTTATTTGATCTTTTGGTTCCTCCTATGATACTAAGCAACAATGAAGAAAAAAAAAAAGCTTTCTCTAATTTTTTCCAGCTGCTATTGAATGTAAGTAATAACTACATTATCCCAAAGAGAATTGAAAGACATTTTGTTTAAATTGTATTTTTTTTTATTTAAAATGCATTATATCTTAATTTCTGGTTTTACAGTATTAAAAATTGTAGAAATTGGTGGTTTATTTTGTTTCCTGGTTGTTAGTGGATGTGCAGAATTTATGGAAATGATTTTTCCACAAAGCCATTTCAGATTTGGAACGTGAATATGTACTGGAAAGAAGCCCAGTCTTTCATTACCACAGTCTCCCAGAGAAGATTTTAAACACAAGTATTAGACTTACTATTTTTACAATAAGCATGTACTTTAGTCATAGCAAATAAAAATTAAATAAATAAATAAATCTATCATGCTACCCTTACCCATCAAGACTTGCTACTTAAAAGATAATCCATAAAAATACAGGTGGGATATTGGATGTAGGCATCTAAATCTAGCACTACAAGACATGAAACCTAATCTGTATAGAGACCTGCAAACACTGTAATTTCCAAAGGGCAGCTCCCACATCTTAGCCTGGGTTCAAACAACCCTCAGCCCCAGGTGCATTTCGACCTCACGTCCCCCCAGCTGTTCCAGAAGTATATACTTATCACCGTCAATATTCACCCTTCTGTGCAGCGGTTTGGCTTCTCGGTGGCTCCAGGACTCTCACACTCCTAACTCTCTAGTGGCCTCCTCTCAGCTGGCAATGCAGAAAGCACCTCTAACAGACTAGAATTGCATCATTTGCATGAGATTTGGGCATTTTAATCCCTCTGAGCCTGATAAGGACCCAAGCTGACAAAGGCTTTGCTTTGCAAGCACTCTAGCCACTACAGTGATTTTTAAAGGTTTGGTATTGCTTCTTTCACTGCCAATTCTTTTTCTTGCTTTTTTTCTTCCCTAATATCTCAGTGCTCTAAACAAGAAATGGTTAAAGAGATGCCTTTGTACAAGTGGATAATTCAGGCAACAACGTGCAGAAGGCTTGTGCTGCGAATTTCATACAAGTCCATGATGTCTATCACTACCACCCTTATTCTACCAACCAGTTTTATCATCTTTTCAGTGGGCTTCCTGCTATGAATTAACTCTTCAAACTCTATACAAGTAACAGTACAGCACAAATGCTGTACACATGCCAAGGAAAGAACAAAACTGGTTTAAACCATCTCTGTGAAAGCCCAAATGAGTTTGAACAGTGATGCTCCTTTAAGCATCTTATCTGATATGTCTGACAAGGTCATACTTAAAGGAATTAATTAAGACCGAAAATACATGTTCCTCTCCTTTTGGTACTAGGAGAATTTTCAAACCAGAGTATCCATTAATTTTATGCTACAAAAATTGTTGTATATATGAATACAGCACAGAAATACACAGAGCAAAGACTGACAGCTCAGAGTACATTAAAAGATTAACCTAGTTACAAAAATCCACTTTGGATTTAAGCTTTATGTAAATAAGAAACTAATTTTTTCTATTTTTAACTCTTTTCCCTTCACATTAGCATGACATACTTAAAAAACCCATATTCTATTAGTAGTACAACTAATGAGGCCAGCTCTCCTACTCATGCAACTCACATCCTTGTTCCATCCCCCCTAAACTCCTCTCAATTCCCAAATTTGCTGCCTGTTCCTTACCTG